AATGTGACGTCTACCACGGATCCGCCGGCGCGCCTGACGCACGTGTGTTGCGAGCCCCGATTGAGTACGACGAGCCCGCAGGTCGCCATACACTCTTCTAGGGCCCTTCCTCTCTGATCGGTCCTGGGAGAACCACAAGCCACGGACTTGGAGTTGAAGTCTCCCAGGACCAGTACCGGACGAGTCCTGTACCGTAGAGCGACGCGCTCCAACTCGTCCAGGTACCTTTCAAATTCCTGGAAGGGCCTGTTGGGCGAGAAGTAACCCCCCACTACCACCAGTTCCCCCCATTGCGCGACCACCAGTCCCCTGCCTCTCTCCAGTGGAGAGAAGACAGAGGACTCAGGATCGCTACCGTACCGAAAGTGAATTGCGGCCGAGCCGTCCTCCGATCCAAACCACGACGGGTGGTCAGGGACGGAGTAAGGCTCGGCCACCACCGCCATAACCCCCCCCAGCTCCGCGAGGCTCTGGATCATGAGATCCTGGGCCCCGCGGGCGTGGTTGAGATTGCCCTGGAGGAGAAGAGATGGAGCGCCTACGACGTAGGTGGCACCTCCACCTCCATTGCCTCCTCCGCAGGGACACTACAGCTGGGAGGGAGTTGAGACTCCCCTCCTTCCTCTGCCGGCGCAGGCTGTGCCTGCGTTGCGACAGAGGGAACCTTCTCCGTTAGGGTGAGGGGTTGAGACCCGCCCCCGACCGGGGCTTTCCGCGCCTTTTTTCTCCCCTTCGAGGAAGGGATGGAGGCGCACGCCTTTCCACCCAGCCGATGCGCCGAGGGCCGGCCGAGGTCGGCACACAAGGGGCAGTTGGGTGCCTGGTCGCACCCAGCCGCACGGTGTCCCCGGCCCCCGCACCTGTAGCAGCGGTCCCGGCGGTCCTCCCCCGACGCGGTATAAGTGCACGTTGCCATGACGTGACCGCGTCGGAGGCACCGGTGGCACTGTAGGGGCCGCCGCTCCAACACATCGACGGGTGCGCGCACCCATCCCACCTTGAGGGCGCCGCCGGCCACGACCTTGCGGGCCGCGGCCAACGGGCACTGCGCCCAGACCGATTGCAGGCCGCCGGGTGAAGCGCGAGCTCGGCCGACTTTCACCTCAGTCGGCCGACAACACCCGGCGGCGGCAACCGCCTCCCTAACTTCGTCCGAGGAGATGGAGTCCTCGAGGCCCCTGATCCGCAACTCGACAGTTTTGGTGGGCCTCGAGACCTTGGCTCCCATTTCCTCGGCCAAGGGAGACATGGCAGCAGCCAGCTTGTCCGCCTTTGCCTCGTTATCTTCGCCGGGGATTTCTATTAGTAGAGCCCCGGTGACTGCACGCCTCGGGCGTACGGCGTCGATGCCGAACGCCCGAGGATCTATTTGTCCCCTGATGCGCGCCATCACCTCCCCCAGCTTGGTGTTGGGGTCGGTGACGGACAAGGTCACGGCTGCGCATCGAGGGGGTTTGGCCAACTTGGCTTTGGGCAGACTCTGCTTGCCACCCGCGGCCGCAGCTCTGCCACCCTGTCCCTTGGACGGGGGTGCCGGCGCAGCCGCCGACCCACCCCGCGCCCCGGACCTTTTCCCTCCCCGTCGTACCACCTGAGACCAAGTCTCTTT